TCTTTTTGCGGATACAGACTAACACGGCTGCTACTCTGAAACCTCCCTTTTATGGACACCCAGCCAGCTAGTTAGCTATAAAGTCCCTCTTGGTGGCTGGTCTCTGCTTCCTTTACTTGTAAAGGGTTAACAAAGTCCCCCAGGTAAAGGAAAAGGAGTGTCACATGACCAAAAGAGCCAATGGGAAGGCTAGAACTTTTTAAAAAGGGGGGGAAGCTTTCCCTTTACCTTTGTGGACTGAAGAAATGGGGTCAGCTGGAATGCTGTGTAAAGTTTAGACCAGGTATGAAAATTCATCGTCCATACCTAGAAGAATTCACTGGGACAGGGAATGTTTAGATAGATGCAATTAGGTTTATTCCTTTTATTTTCTGTAAGGCTTGTGGACTACTCCGTGCTAACCCCAGATGCTTTATTTGCTTGTAACCTTTAAGTTGAACCCCCCAAGAAAGCTATTTTGAGTGCTTAATTTTTGGAATTGCTTTTTTAAAATCTAGCAAAAGCCTAAGTTCCAGATGTATTTTCTTTCTTTTTGTTTTTAATAAAATTTACCTTTTTAAAGAACCTGATTGGTTTTGTGTCTTATAAGGTCTGTGCATGTGTTTTTCAATTAGCTGGGGGCAACAGCTCCATTTCCCTTTTGTTGTTTTCTTTTTTGGCTTCCCCGAGTGAGGGGTGGAAAAGCCGAGGGGCCTGAGGGAAAACTTCCCAAGTGAGTTTTTCCAGGATTTGCAAGAGGCAGTTTTTCACTTGGGTGATGGCAGCATTTACCAAGCCAAGATCAGAGAAAAGCTGTAACCTTGGGGGTTTAATACAAGCCTAGAGTGGCAAGTATTAATTTTTTTTAAATTCCTTGTGGGCCCCCACCTTCTGCACTCAAAGTGCCAGAGTGGGGAATCAGCCATGATACCCCTACATGTCGCATCTGAGTTAGTGGTGCTCCCCTGCCAGCTAACAGCATGCACCACTGTGCTGCTGCATGGTGTTCCCCTGACTATGGCATCCTGGGTGGTCCACCCCTAAGGCCGGCCCTGCCCAGAGGCAGAAACTTAACCACTATGTGAGTTTACACACTGATGGGGTCAGGCAACAACCAAGTGGAGGTTTTATGGATTGCAGTGGCATCTACATCTAGGGTTTAGGCACCTAAGCACCTTTTTGGAGCTGTGCTGAAGTATTTGCTCTACAGAA